GAATCTATTGTTATATTATTAAGAATTAATGATTTAATTATTGTTTTGATCGATAATCCTATTATGTTTTTCTATCAAGGTATGCTTAAAGGTGCACGAATTTCCCAATTATCCGTCCTTACATTGCCTTTACGGAGGCAAGGAACGACCCTTAGGTCAATTTCTTCAACATTGTTAGTCTCAGGGTCTAATAACTTGAGACAAAACTCGCCACCGATTATAACAATATAATCAACCAAAGATACCATGGCGAAATCCTTGAGCACCTGGTTTTCATCAAGGGCTGGAATGGAGGTGACTCGATGCCACAAATTGTTAAATAGATTGTAACAGTCAATGAAATTAGACATGTTTCCATTAGGATCCTTAGTGCACGACGGGAGATAGCTTCGACAACAATCTATGGACAAAGTCTAAAGTCGTGAAAGAGAATCCATTGGGACGAGGCAGAGGAGGAGACAATGATGGTTGTTATAGGCCGCTTTCTCGTGTTGAGGCCAGGAAGTGTTCCGTGCAGGGTTCGAGGGGCTGATATAGTACAACAGAAGGATGTTACAAAGTAATCAGGAGCATGGTTTTGTAATTTTCCGTGAATATACGACATAATCTAGGAATTTGTAGGTCAATTCTATGGTTTTTCTTGTTGTGTGATTCTTGTCGTATTTTTCTTTTAATAATCTAAACTGTGTTAGTGAAAACAGTGCCATCGAATTTGGCAACGTCGTTGGTTGATTCTTTTTTCAGTTCTTTTCAATGCTGCCAGTGATTCCCGATGATTCCCAAGACATCATAATATTATGGATTATGCTAGTGATACGTCAAAAGATGTACCTAAGGGGTTACACCTCCCTCACATGGGGTGGGACTCACTTGCATAATTTTTTTTTATTTAAGTGGGTCCCACCCCCATGTGAGGGGGTGTAACCCCTTAGGTACACCCTTAGGTACCACTAGCACAATCCTAATATTATTTGATAGTGAATGTCCTCAACATGTCACAATCATATGATTTTATGTCTAAAAACTGTACAACCGAAGATTTCCAGCACTCATTGTTGAGGAGTTTAGTGACTTTGAAATTTTTTGTGAACTTTTATGTTTTTGGATAATTAATTTGTGAAATTGTGATATTTTTTTTTTATTGTTTTTCTGTTAATAAAAGACATATAAATTATAATATGTGATTTTTGTTGATTAAACTTGTTACTTCGTGAAATTTTGACATGTGTTTTTATTAGTGTATAAGGATAAATAGTTTGTGACTTTCATGATTTAAATGTGAAGGATCTAACTAGTTTGATCGTGTTATCTTGCTTTTGTTTCCATCAAATTTCAAAACTAAATTCTTTGATTTTGAGGACAATTCTTGTAATAGCCGTCTCTGGATAGGGCTGTCATGGATTAATTTTGATCCGAATCTAATTAAAATCCTAATTCGATGAAATTAGTGGGAGATAGATTTAGGGTTATAGTCGATAACCTGATCAAAATTCGAAATCAGTAATCCGTTAAATAAATGAACAAATATAGATATACGTCAAATACGATTCGATAACAACTCGATTTAAGTTGTTATAATAATATAATATATTTCATATATTACCGCATAATTTATTACACATAATTTTTTATTTTCTTCATTTTGAAACTTGTATTATACTTCATGACTTTTAATGAAGAACGTCAAATCTACCAAATTTCAGTATAACATTAATATATATTATAACAAATTTTGTATTGAGATTGAGAATTCCCCATTTCTAAAATATTTTGGATCAGAATATCAGATCGAATATTAGTAACATAGCAAACCAGATATGAGTTTAACAATCAAATATCCATTGAATTATCGGATTTGATCAAGGGAAAATTACCAAAAACCAGGCATTAAGTTTGATCTCTTAAAAAATCAGGTTTTCACGTTTTTTTTTTTATCATTTTAATTAAATAATTTCCATTTTTTAAAAGAAAAATAATTTCCATTTTAAAACCCTAATTCACCCATTCCTCACCCCCTCTCGTCTATCACTCCGTCGTCTCTCGCCACTGTCGCCTCCTCTCCTATCTTTCCTCTACACCCCTCCCCCCTTCTCTTCCCTTAATTGTGACGCCGTCGTTCACCGTATTGACGCTGCCTGTGTAAACTACGAGGGCCGTGTAAACTGATTCATCTTGGTCAACGTTAGTTACGGTTCTGATCACTTTCTTGCTTTCATTTTCTTTCAAGTTTGATATGGCAATTGATAGGTAGTTCATGTTGGAGATGGAATCAGAATTTGATTCGGTGGGGCATGAAAAATTAGCTGGAAGAGACAACGCGATCTGGTTTATCTTGGTTATGTTATAGCCAGTATAGAAGAGGTATTGCAAGTAGTCGATGATTTCAGTCTCATAAACTAACCCTGACTACAATGGCCCAGGTGTTCTTACTTCCCCTGCACCACCACCTCAATTGTAGCATGATGTTGTTTGTATGTTGGTGGGTTGTGAATCTGTGTGGTGGTGTAGTAGCGTTGGTGTTGATGTGTGGTGTTGATGTGTGTTTGTGTGGTGGTGGGTTGCAGATCTGCGTGGTGATGGTGCTATGGTGGAGGTTGAGGTACGACTATGGTGATGGAGCTACATTTTTGGCTGTGAGGTGGAGATGGCTGTGGCAATAATTTGGTTAATTATTGTGGTGGAGTCAACGGCGGTGGTGGTTCTTTTTGGTGTCTGTGACCCAGCTATTGAATCGTGGCTTTAAAATTGATAATTTGTTGGTGTCTGTGACTAACAAATTTGAAAATACGTGACGTGATATATAATTTTTTTGATCTGTGACCAATAAAAAATCTGTAACCTATACAATTTTAGATTTTTGACCTCGATATAATCCGTGACCTGCAAAATTTTTGATCTGTGGTCGAAGAATAGTCGCCGGAGGGGAGCAGAGGTGGAGGTGGGGTGGAGTGGGGGTGGGTTAATTATATTATATTACTGTTAAATATTTAATTTAATATAATAATTGTGAAATATAATTAATTAACT